TTTGGTTGTTTTTTTGTTTTTTCCTGAAGGCTGCTTCTGCCTGAAGTGTGTTTAAAATGAAGGCTTGAAGAGCGGAGCAGAACTCTGCTAGCAGCTGCGGCTGTCTCCTGGGATGAGGAGGTGGGAAGTGGCTGTAGGAACAGCTTTTCCTACACCCCCCGCGCTGTTGGTTAGCCTCTCGTGCCTCCAGTTGGGGTTAAAAGACAAGAAGGACAATAGCTGGAGGCAACTGATCTGGGGAAAGTGATCTGTCCTCAGATGCCTGGGAAAATGATACAGGTTCAGGTCAGAGCCAGCCTGAAGGGATGGAAAGACTCAGCCCGGAGGAGGGATGGATGAAGACTATCTACTGTTGGAGCTGGCAGAAGCAGGGACTGGCTGAGAGTGCTGGCAAACCCCTGTGAAACCCAAACGTAAACAGTCTGTCTCAGGTCCTCCCATGGTTGACTCAGGCAGCAGGTGACAAATTGGCTCCACAGATGGAGCTATTTCCTTTGTGCAGGTCTGTGGTGGCACCCAGACAGTCCCAGCCATGCTGGCAGGCGAGGTGATGCACAGGGTGCCGTCTCTATGAGAAGGGAGGAAGATGGTTGGCACAAAGTGGAAGGTTTACCACTTTGAAAAGGCCACCCTAAAAGTTACATACATGTGCACACCATAGTTGTGGGGTCAAGCACACTGAAGTTGGACATGAAGTAATGTGTCTATCCCCTTTACTTCTGTGCTCATGCGGGGGTTTTATAAGTGACCTCAGCATCGCCAACTGCTTACAGGTCTTCCTCCTGTAGCCCAATTGTGCTTCTAGGAGTTCGTTATGCCGTGCTGTAATGGGTTTTACAACAGCTCCCTGCACAGGTGACTGGAAAATACCAGACCCCACCTCATTATGCAGCCTATTGGGCTGCATGTTGACATGTTCTGGTTGATGTTGACCATGTTGCCTGGTAGAAGGCTGGCAAACCCAAACTTTCACCTCCTGAGCATACTAATGGGCTTTCTTGTGTTTCATCTGCTGGGGAGTCTGTGTGTGGGAAGGGAACAAATAAAGATCATGTAATTTGGTCTCTTCACAGTTTGAACAGTTGCCTGAAAGGTATTTTTATTGCTTGTCTGTAAGTGGTAAATACTTGCCCCCCCCTGCCCCGGCCCCGTGAAACTGTGTCTTATCTGACTTGTGGAGCTCCAGTTCCAAAAACAGCTCTTAGGTTTTCAGGGGCAGCTTTGTGTGTGGGAGAAACTACATATTCGTGTGGAGGTAGGAAACCAGGATATGGAAGAGGGAAAATTTGTTTGTGGGTTACTGTTTCTTGTTAGATTACAGTAACTAAAAGAAAACCCACATCGTTTCAGAAGCGAATGAAGGACAGGATTCCTCTCCACCTGGTTCATGTCTGTGTCTTAGGGAAGAGTTATTGCTTCATGTGTGTCCTCTTTTCCTTGTCTAGTAGGCTCAGAAGTGAAGTAAAAGTAAAATATTCTCCCTCAGTGTAGTCAACAGCCTGGTTCCTGCATTGCTCTTGTGGAAGGTGAGGGGATGTGGGTGTGAACTCCTTCATGCAGAGGAGGTGAGTGCAGTGGCTACTACTAGCCTGTTACTTAAAGTTTGCCATTTCATAGGACAGTTTTCACCCTTGGGGAGATGACTGTGAAATGCTTCTGCTTATGAAAGAACACAGGCTCCTACAGATGGCTAAATCAATTGTTAATTTACTACAGTAATTTTTAGTGAAACATCTGAGCGTGGATTCAAGAAACATTCTTCTTGAGTGTTTCTTTGTTACCTGAGGATTTTCTTTTGTAATTCCCCCCCCCGCCCCCCCTCCCGCCAGGGTATGAAAAATGTCAATGCACCTGTGAGAGGGCAAATCTTCAGCATTTAAGCCCCAGGCTCTGCCAGGCGCTATTGATGTGGGTTTTTGTGTCTGATTTGGACTCATGAATGCCAGTCTGAGAGCTGAATGCCTGAAAACTAGATGGGGCAATGCCAAGTGTTGCCTCACCGCAAGTGTATGCCTCTTTTGACTGGCATGCATTCCGGCTCTTGCCTTAGTTTATATGTGTTGTGATTCAGGTGGTTTTGCACAATAAAAATATTTTTGTGTGTGTGGAAAAATGGTGAAGTACTGAGGTTAGGACTAGAATGTGTACTTTCTATGGGGCTTTGTTTAAATTCTTTAGGTAAGGTAGACAATACATCACCTAACAGAAGAACAAAGCAATGTTGACGCAAGGTAGTGTTGGTTTGTGTGGGTTCAACATAGTATCTTATATACAGCCAACAATTAATCCAACACATGACTAACCATTTAGTATTAGCACACATGGGCAGATTCATCCTTGGATTTAACAGTACATTTACAGTGACTTCTAGGAAGTTGTGTTTACTTGGGGCCAAATTTGGATCACATAAAGGAACAAGAGGTGCGCCAACATATGTATTTGATTATTCATCTGCTGAATATGTTTTTCTGCTTTTCCTGGTGTACATGCCAGGATGTCGCACAGTGTAACTCACCTTTTTGTGATGCCCACCTTGTATTGCTTATATTATTTCCCCTTCTTCCAACAACCACCCATTGATTTGTTCCTCACCTGTCTTGAGCCTGAATTACCCTTGGCTGGTGCTGCAGGAGGTATGGCAACTTATGGTTAAGGTTTTTTTTAAGATACAGTATTCTGCATACAGAATCTTAAGCATTGCAGGTGGAGAGTTGCACAAACTTAAAAGGAGTCTTAGACTGTCTTGTTCCAGAAAGTTTTCTCATGGTTGTGTAATTTCTTCTTTGTTTAGCTTTCTGTGCTTTAGTTGCACTATCTTCAAGCCCCTTTGATGCTGAATCAGAAATAAACTTCAGAACTGTGTTGGTAGGGAATAGGTAAATAGCCTCAGACTCACAACAGTCCCTCTTCATCTAAGCTAATCTGTATGTCTGTTCTATATGTCAATGTGCACCGTAGACTAAAGATGTGAGCTCAGCTCTGGGAAGCTTACTGAATTGTCTCAGAATGGTGCTGCTGGGAACCTCTGCGTAGGTAGAAACAAATGGAACATCACCAGGGAGCTGCTCTAAGGTGGAGGGGGGGGCAAAATAGAAAAATAGGGTTGACATGAAGAAGAGTAGGCAGGAGCTTAGGGACGTGGCACAACAACAAAATACCTCAGTCCATGGCACGGTTCCATTTCTCTCTCAGAAATCTTGTACTGTCCACATGGTGCTCAGTAGCATCATCTTGCCTCTGGAGAACACGAGCACCTGCCCCATCTGCCAGCCTTGTCTTCTCTGAGGCAGGAGATCCCTGTGTCATCCAGTGTTAACTCAGTGTGGGAGTGCGTTCACCTGAATCCACAGTGTAATTGGCACTTATTCCCCTCCCGGCTTTTGACAGGACTGTAAAGGTTTGCTTCACTTCACTGCTCAGAATCCTTCAAATGTTGGATTTAAAAATGAGATGAGAACAGGCATGGGTGGAATTAATGCTACCGATTTTAAGTTTCTCTCTTTAGCCCTCTCACTCACAAAACGCTGTCAGCGCCATACGGTGTCGTTGGTGTGTTTCTTCGCTCCAGGCACTGTTGCTGCCTCATACTCGGAGGGTGAGGGCTGCGAGGTGGGTGCCAAGGCTGCCTTCCACTCTTCTAAACACAGTGGGTGCCTGCAGGCCTTTCTGCAGGGTGGGAACCGCCAGGATTATGCATGTTTGCTCGTGTCCCTGGTAGCAAAGGATTACTTACAATGCAAGCGGGATTCTTCCCACCGCGAGCAGTGTGCCTATTAAGCAGTGCTTTGGTGTTTAGCCAGTGAAACGGATTTTGCAAGTAAGCGGGAGGAGGAAGTAGTGGTGCTTTTTGCTTGTGCTTTTGTTTTGCCTTTTTTTTTTTTTTTAACAAAACAAAGTTTCTTTTTATGTCAGTCATTTTTATTTTCCTGTCTTTTTGCTTGTTGTCACATCTGCCTCATTTTGCTGCTTATTAGATAAACATTAGGTAGTCACTGACTTTCAAAATAAATCAGTAGTATTCTTGAGATTTCATAGCAACAAATTGTACTAGTGAGAGAGAGAAGCAAGGTTGTGCAGGAATATTTTCAGTAATGCCAGGTATTTCTGTGAGATGGTAACTATTTTATTTTCAGATGTCAGTCTCCTGCAAACAAGAAAGATGTGTTCAGAATTTATCTCAGATAGCACTTGGTGGGGCAAGTGAATGTATATGTTCTTAACTGGTTTCTGTTGCCTCTTGAGCACTGGTGTGGGAGTTTGAAGAATTGCCACAAAAGCTATGGCTTGTAAGATTTGGGATGAGATGATGCCTTCTGAAGGGTCTTTTTCTTGGAGCAACACTTATAAATTTGGTGAGCCCTGAAAGTATCAGGTTAGCCAGAGTTGGATGCTGAACAGCTGATAGTTTAGAATAAAACAAAAAAAAACCATTGCAGATAGAGTTCACTAAATAACATCAGATCTTCCTGTATGTGGTACGTGAGCACTGTAGTTCCTCAAGCCAGAGCTGAGATGGCAGGTCAGTGCAGGACAAAGAACTGACCTGTTTTGTGTTCCTGCCATTAAACAACCTGTTCCAACCCCAATCTCAAAAATGAGAGCACATCAGAGGCTTATCATGAACCTGCACATTGTGCTTGCCTGGAATGCTTGCTGTTTTTTAAAGCTTGGAGAAGGTCTGACAGATACCTTGATGCCTCATTCAGTCAGGTAGTGCAGGTCTTCCAGAGCAGTCTTGTTTTGGTGACACATTAATGAAACGTTTTTAAAAGTGCTTTTTTCTTTTTGTCTGTACTCTAAGAAGCACTTTGATTCTTTGATATCCCAACAAAGTTCTATTTTCAAAATGTGCAGCAGACACTCAACCAACTTAGTTTACTTCTTTGTGTCAAAGCTTTGGACAAGCTTTGCCTACTTGTGAGCGACCAAGAGCTGTTGTACCACCACAGACTGTCCCTCCAGACCTCTGGCTGTTGCCTGTGTCCTGCAGGTTCCGAGACATGCCTGCCTACCTGGTATGGATGTCCCTGACACTTAGGCTGCACAGGAACAGGCACACCAAGCAACCAGGGATTTATAGGTTGTGTAGGAAGACATCTTTGTGGTCTGCTGGTGCAGCCTGCAGGATTTTGGCTGTCCAGTTCTGTTCTGGTCAGCTGAGTCGGCTGCCTGCCGAGTATGTTAACTTGTCAATAAGTATGCACAACTTCAACGCCAGTTTACTGGAGATGTCTGAAAGCTCTTGGTTTTTGAAGTATGTGTAGCGTGGTAAAGTGTGTTATGGCCAGCTATATTCTAGCTTTGTTCTGGTTGTTGGCTGAAGTTAGCCCTGAGTTTCATACCTTGGGGTAGCAACCCACGTGTTGAGTCAGTTACTCAAAGCCTTAGAAACACGGTGCTCGCTCTAGTTCTTTAGATTTTGAAGTAGTTTGTTAGCCTGTGTTATTGCTTGATAGTAATGAAATGAAAAGTGTTTATGAATTAAAACTTACGTGCTCAAACAGATGCACAAATTACATGTGTTTTAGCAGGGCCTGAATTATATATTGGCAAAGACAAGCATCCCAGCAGGTATCCATTGCCACAACTGCACAGCCCCCCCTTTTTTGACACTGATTTATCTTTTTACAGAATAACCACAAGCAGAACAGGACTATCAAAGATGGCAAAGAGAAGAGGAGAAACAGCAAATCAGCATTTGAGGAAGTGAGTGAGGAAGATGAGGAAGATACGATGAAACAAGCCCTGATGGATCAGGTAATGCCATTATAGCAGGTTGTCTGGTAACTGACTCTACTGGATTTCAGGATTTCTGATCAAGTAGCAATGAAATGGCTCGGTTGCCCAGGGACTGGAACTCCCTGTTTAGTACCCAGGTGCCAAGAGAGTTTCTGTATTGGTGGAGCAGCAAGGTAATTCCTTGTTTTAGCTGGTAAGAGAACAGATTCTGATATCAGTTGCAGTTATTCTACCTGTATCTTTAATTCATTTGTTCATTTTTATTCTTTGTTTATGTCTGTGCAGGCAAGAGAAAAATTGGACTAATAGCCTAATGCTGAAGGCAGTCTTCAGAAAAACTCCTATTGTACCAACATACTAAAGGAAGTGAGATTTTTAGGTGTGGTATTTTGCTGTTACTGTGCTGCAGTGCTCATTGTTTTCAGCAGCTAGCAGACGGACATCTGCAGAGGAAGGCAGATAAGGAACTATTTGGTCATTTTCAGTATATTAACCTGTGCATCAAATGATAGCTGACCTTATTAACCTAGACATTAGGGGGATAGCATTCATCAACATTAATTTGTATAATGGCATATGCAAATATATGGTATGTCAGAGGACTCCTCTTTTAAACACTTTTGTAGTCAGTGTTGTGGGATACTCTTAATATTTTCTTACAGTTAATAGTCACCTCTAGCACTTCCTCCAACAGAGTGCAGTGGGAAGTCAGCAGCTGACTTGCCCAAGTTGTAGGAAGCAAAAGGCAGGGACTGGAAGAATGCGGTACAGCCCACTGTAGAAGATCAGGTTCGAGACCTGCTGAGGAACCTGAAGGTGCATAAATCCATGGGACCTGATGAGATTCACCTGTGGGTCCTAAGGGAACTGGCAGATGAAGTTGTCAAGCAACTATCCATCATATTCGAGAAGTGGTGGTCTGGTGAAGTTCCCACTGACTAGAAAAGGGGAAACATAACCCCCCTTTTAAAAGAGGGCACAAAGGAAGACCTGGGGAACTACAGGATAGTCAGTCTCACTTCTGTGCCCGGCAAGATCATGGAGCGGATCCTCCTGGAAACTCTGCTATGGCACATGGGAAATGAAGAGATGATTGGTGACAGCCAACATGGCTTCACTAAGGGCAAACTGTGCCTGACAAATTTGGTGGCCTTCTGTGACAGTGTTACTGTGTTCGTGGGTAAGGGGAGGGCAACAGATGTCACCTACCTGGGCTTATGCAAAGCATTTGACACTGTTCCACGTGATATGCTGGTCTCTAAATTGGAGACACATGGATTCAACAGATGGACCACTGCGTGGATAAAGAACTGGCTGGACAGTTACACACAAAGAGTTGTGGTCAATGGCTCGATGTATAAGTGGAGACCAGTTACAAGTGGTGTTCCTTAGTGGTTGGTACTGGGGCTTGGTGCTGTTCAACATCTTTGTTGGTCACATGGTCAGTGGGATTGAGTGCACCCTCAGCAAGTTCGCCAATGATACCAAGCTGTTTAGCGAGGTAGACACGCTGGAGGGGAGGGATTTGTTCTTGAGGTTCTTGGACCTCAAGAACAAAAGGAAAGCTTACATTCTCTGGAAAAGGGGGTTGGCATCTTATGAGGATTATCAAGATATAACAAAGCTATGTAGGGGGAAAATTAGAAGGGCCAAAGCTCAATCAGAACTCAGCTTGGCCACTGCAGTTAAAGACAATA